CCATGTCCCTAAGCACCACATCTGCACATCTTTTCGATACCTCCAGGGATGGTGACTCAACCGCTTCCTTGGGCAGCCTGATCCAATGCTGGACAACCCTTTCAGTGAAGAAATTTTTCCTCATATCCAATTTAAACCTCCACTGGCACAACATGAGGCCATTTCCTCTTGTGCTATTGCTTGTTACTGGGGAGAAGAGACCAACACCCACCATGCTACAACCTCCTTTCAGGTAGTTGTAGAGAGCAGTAAGCTCTCCCCTGAGTCTCCTTTTTTCCAGACTAAACAATCCCGGTTCCCTCAGCTGATCCTCACAAGACTTTTTCACCAGCTTCGTTGCCCTTCTCTGGACACACTCCAGCAACTCAATGTCCTTCTTGTAGTGAAGGGCCCAAAACTGAACACGGTATTCGAGGGGTGGCCTCACCAGTGCAGAGTACAGGGGCACAATCACTTCCCTATTTCTGCTGGCCGTGCTCTTTCCGATACAAGCCAGGGTGCTGTTGGCCTTCTTAGCCACCTGGGCACATGGCTGGCTTGTACTCAGCTGGCTGTCATTGACCAGCACCCCCAGGTCCTTTTCCGACAGAAAGCTTTCCAGCCACTCTTCCCCAAGCCTGTAGCGTTGCATGGGGTTTTTGTGACCCAAGTGCAGGACCCGGCACGTGGCCTTATTAAACCTCATACAGCTGGCCTCCACCCATCGATCCAGCCTGTCCAGATCCCTCTGCAGAGCCGTCCTGCCCTCCAGCAGATCAACACTCCCACCCAGCTTGGTGTCATCTGCAAACTTACTGAGGGAACACTCGATCCCCTCATCCAGATCACTGATAAAGATGGTAAACAGAGCTGGCCCCAGTACTGAGCCCTGGGGAGCACTGCTTGTGACTGGCCACCAACTGGATTTAGCTCCGTTCACAACTCTTTGGGCCCTGCCATACAGCCAATTTTTTACCTAGTGAAAAATACACCTGTCAAGTTTTTTGGTGATCAGGCCAGGCAGCACAAATTCATAAAGAAGCTGTAACGTTCTTGTCTCCAGGCTTTTTCTGTTGACTACTCTTGAGAAAGTGGCATTAATTGTTATTTGGCAATTTCTTTTTGTGAATGGGTTGTGCTTGAATGTAAAACAATCGGTTAACATTTCCTGCTCATTCAAGTCTGTTGTGTATGATGTAGTCCCCTGGGAACCTTTAGCACAATAACTGCATTTTTGTAGAAGACATCAGTTTACTAGATTTTGTGTCTCTTAAGGTGAGAGTTGGAAAATGTCCACTGTTTTGTGAGCAGCTTTTGCATGTCACAGTAAATAGACGCAGGAAAAAAAAATGCTCATGTTCACTGTGTTAAAATTCTGTAGTCTCTTTCCATGCTGCCTAACATGGAGTTTTAGTTTAATTTTCCTATACTATTTTAAAAAATTCTGTAGCTGAGAGTTCCAACACACTTTAAGGTCATCTTGTTGCTTTTGTATCATAATCACATTATGTTGGGTAGAAATAATTTATATAGTCCTGCTTTTGAAAATGATAAATTAGAATTTTGTTTGTTTTTCAATAGATCTACAACAGATGGCCTTTTCTATTAACATACTGCTAAAAATTTTTGTTGCTTGAAAAATGGAGATAATAGGAATTCTTCCTAACTACTTAGTCCTGGGTGGAGCTATTCATGCCAGTGTTTAAATGTGTTGCTATTTTTGCTTAGCAGTTACTCTGTTTTAAATCTCAATTTTTTTTTAAATCTCAAGCTTTTTTGTGTAACAGTGGTTTATAACTCTAAATTAAACTCCTCAAAGTCCTATTTTGTAGGTAATTCTTGTCAAGTAGATGAATAACATTTCAGTTCTGAATTATTTCTTAATAGATTTTGAAGATTAATATTGCCTTTCTAAAGAAAGAAAATATTGTCTCATGTGAGAATGATTGTAACTTTTTATTGCAAAGACAGGTCAAAGGTGGAAGAAGGGTAGAAAGATAGGATCTGTGCAGCTGTGTGACACAAGTAGGTTGCTCAGAGATCTGTTAAATTCAGATTTTTTGGTGTCTAGTAAAACTAGTTATTTTCATTAAGGTGCCCAGGCAATAGCTAAGATTACTTATTACATGCTATGAAATTGAATAGAAATTTCAGTAAACTTCTTCCAATTGTAGAAGACTATGTATATGTTTCAGTTTTTCCTCAAGGCTTTAACTGAAGTATTATAACTGCTCTATGTGCTTTGGGGTTAAGTTTTGCCATTGTACAGAGTCCTTGTATGTACTAGAAGCTGTCTGAAGTGACTACCCATCTCAGCTCAGAGGATGTTTCTTCATTTAGAAAAACGTCAAAGGACAGCTCTTGAGAGGAGAGTCCTAAAATCCTGCCAACTAGCAAAATACTGACAAGCCCAACCTAGGCTTTAGTCCATTTCTACTTTTATAGTTGGAACAACTTTCCCCTGTGTGAGTGACTTTGTTTAATGAATTTCATTTTACAAAATATTAAATAAGATGATTTATAATGAAGTATTTTAGAATTTTATATGCATCTTTAATGTTGTACACAAGACAGTAAACATTCAGAGGTCATCAAACAGTTCAATCATTTGATGTGTAGTTAACGTTAGGAACAGACATGAGACTCCAGGTTGGGAATAGGAGGGATGGAAGCCCAAGGGTCTTACAACAAGAGGAGAAGAGGTATAAATTAAGAATGTCGTGAAGGAAGACTGTTAATTAGTTAGAAAGATGAACCTGTCTAGATGATAAGAAATCTAGAAGATTGGTATGTATTATACAAAAGTGGGAAAGTGTAATGAAGATACTTACAGAAAAGTTACAGATATAAACCAAAGAAAAACAGTGCATTCATGTTCCACATGGAAAGGAGAGATCAAGAGGTACCTGTAATCTTGAAGGATTTAGTCTAAGGAAAAAAATAAATTTAAATGTTACCAGATTTAAGAAGTCATCTGGTATTATAAAAAGAACATGAATAGTTATGAAAATCTTGGTTCTTTCTGAGTAATACATATTTACATATGCATTTAAAACATTATTGGTTTAGAAGTCATAAATTTTGCAGTAAGGTGTATTTTTATCAAGATTATGATCATGCTAGGCATTATATATGCTTATGTCACTTTAAAAAAAACAACATCACTAAGTCATTTTAGTCAAACCTTTTTGAATTCTAAAAATTAGAATGTAACATTGTATGTTACATTGAATGTATGTTTTTACATACATCAAAAGTATGTAAAAATAAAATTAGATTCTTATTAGCCAATTTAGTCAAGTTGGTAAAAATTCTGTAAGCTATTAATAATAATGTGATGCTTGGAAGGATTTTCTTTTTTTTAAAGCTAAACTTTGCCATGTAGCAAGCAATTATGAAAATTGATATGTTTCGTGTCACTTATCAGCATTCATTGTTTCTAGTGGTAACAGGTAAACTGAAGTTCTTATTTTTTCCTTCTCATAGAGCATACTCAGGGCCAGGCAGCAGAGAGCCTGAGTGCATAGTCCTACCAGGCCTGTGCACGCACACCAGACTCATGCACACAGTACATACATGGCCAACTGTCATGGATGGTCACAGGCAAGAGAATGACACCTTTGCAGGCACCCGTGTGAAACAAAATTGCTCATATAAACATGAATCACTCTAATGGATTTATGCTTTCCTTTTCAATCAGGTTCTAAGTCTGCTAGGAGATCTCATTCCCAGACAGTTCCATGCACACAGTCACATGGGTCTCTTCTGGCCCCTAGACCCTTGACCTCTGGTACCCATCTCAGATACCTCTTGTCCAACTTGCTGGCTAGTACAACCGAAAGTTGTTGCAGGAAGGTTACGTGAGTGTACTTACGTAGGTCTGTCCATTATCTGAGCCCAGACCTGTGGTCTCTCTGGTTAGATGGCCTTCAGACCCATGGTCTCTCTAGTATTTAGCTGCCAGATCTTTCTTGTCCCACTTACGAGTTTACCCTGTCTCAAGTTTGCCAGCAGGTTTAGAAACATATCCCCTCGCACACACAGTAGAGAACTTAATCACACAGAAGATTTTTAGAAACAGAATTTAATGAGGAGATGCAACAGGCTACAGGGATCACATGCAGGAGTTGGCCTGCCAAGTGCATTGACCAGGAGCCTGCTTACTTACAACTGTCCTGTTTAATTTCATTCCTTCTTTATTTTCTCAGGCTTATTCCTCCTGGATTCATCTTGATCTTTCTGCTCCTTTGGCTCTTCACCTAAATATCCCATTAAAAATTACTTGTTCGCCTAAAAAAATTTGATTCCATAAAAAGTTTCACAGATCCCCCCAACTCCCCTTCTTCCCAGCATCCGATAGCAAGTTTATTCTTTCTCATGAGATCCGTGATAATCTTGTTTTTCTGCTAATCAGTTAGAGTTCTGGTTGAATCTCTTGAAGGTAATGGTTGAGTGCTTCCTGTTATGGCTCATTGATCAGGGTCTCCAGAATTCTGGGATTTGTTACTATTGCCATTATCTGTGGTTTGTCAGCTGTGTTCATTTTATGGCTTCTATTTCTTGCCTTTGTCTTTCATGCTGAATAGCTGCTAAAAAGTTATTTTTACAGAAAGTTTCAATTCAGCTTAAAAGTGTTTCTTTTTTCTCCTCATTTTCCTCCCTCTTCCTTTGTCTATGTTGGAATTCTGTTTTTCTGTCTTAAATGGCTGTTATTCAAGTGAGTTATTGATGTCCATAGGGAGAAATTAGTAACCTCCTGGAAATTTATGCCCAGCTTTTCTCATACTGGTATGGTTCTAAGTACAGCCCGGAGTAGTGTAAGTTTTCCAATAACTAGTAATTACAGTTCAAGTGTCTCTGCTAAATTTTCTGTGTACCATTCCATTTCCGTATCACAAAGGTAAATACTGCATACTTTTCTAAATAATACTGTTGCTTTATCACTTAGGGTCTGAAATACTATTTCTGAACTATGTTTGTGTGAAATATGTTAGTAATTGAAATAATTTTTTTCTTTGTAGAACCAAAATTGCAATTTCAGCCACCACATCAAGTACAGCACAAAGTTATGAATACAGAACAGAATGGCTTCAAAGAGAATCATTCAAGACACATTTCTCGCAATGACATGAGACAACCAAGGAATGAGAAACCCCCTCGTTTCCAAAGAGATATTCAAAATTCAAGGCAGGCTTTGGAAAGTGGTGGGTTACCAAGAAACAGAGGTCCTGAACGGCACAGCTCTTTAGAACATTGGACAGATGAAAAAAATAAAAGTGACAGACATTATCCTAGAAATGATAGGCCAAAAGATTTGGGTTATCCCATAGCCACTCACCAGAGTGACATTACTTTCAAAAAAAGGGATAACAATATGCAAAACAGAGTAGGCAAAGGGGTGTCTTTCACAGAATTCAACGAGAACTCTGCTGCTCAAGATACCACAGACAACAGTAACCAGAGACGTGGGAAAAGGGAAAACCAAATACACAGTTCTGAAAATTTTTGTGATAGGAAGGCACGAACAATAAGTAGTGAAGCCTTTATGGTAAAAAGCGAGCAACATTTTGGTGTTGTTAATGATTACCAAAATCCTGGTAGAACTGATAATTTTAATGCTATACTAAATGGAGGTACTGAGCACCATCAGAAAGGAAGACGAGTAGGACCTATCAAATCATCAGGACCCACTACAATCCCATCTTTTGATGATAAAATGTTGTATTACAACACCGGTCCCAAAAGGAGATCTGGGCCCATCAAACCAGAGAAAATATTAGAACCATCGATTCACACGGAGTATGGAAAAAATTGGAGACCAGGGGATGAATGTTTTGCTCTTTATTGGGAAGACAACAAGGTATGCTTTTGCCAAGTGAGAAGTACCTCAAATTGTATATTTATTGTTGTCATATGTACATGTGGGAGATTTACCACGCTTTTTTATCTATGAGATTGTATTCATTGCGTGAAACTTTAAGAGCTTAAATTAAGTCATCTTGAAGGTGATTGTTTTTCTCATTTAGTTGGAGTTTAGGATGATTAAGCTCCTAACTGAAGCATTTGACTTAAGTGCCAAAAATTTGAAGGGATGAATATGGATCTAGGTGTCCATGTTCTTTTCCAAGGAACAAGAAACAGGATGCTATGCTATCTAGAATAGTCTGTAATGGCAGATAGGTAATGCCTTTTTCTAGAAGTCGTCAGCATGCACCCTCTACTATCGCAAGGGAAGACCAGCGTCTGCAGGAACAGGGCTGTTTAAAAAAACTCTCTTAATTTCAGTTATCACAGAAAGGAAACAGCAAAAGGCTTATTTTTTTATTAGCTGAAGAATTTGTGGAACACATTACTTATGTTGTGTGATACTTTTGTTTTACTGATTTTAAAAGTTTGAATAGTTCATCTGTTTTTTCCTATTAATAAGATTTCTCTTGTGGCAAGACATTTCCCTTTCATCTTCTCCTTTGCTAAAAAAGTTTGAGGCTGTTTTCTTTGATTTGTTATTATCTATTCAAGAGTTCTCTGTCACTATTCTTGGGTAGTTTCTTCAATTTTTGACCCTTTCTGATAATCTGGGAACTACCTTAAATGTTCTTTGAATACCTTTTACTCCCACCATTTTATGTCTTTTTTTTTCTTTTGGTTGTTATTTTCTGTCTTTTTTTTTTTCCCCCTTTTTTTTACAGGGAGTAGATAGTGTTAGCTCAACAGCATAACTTTATTTTTCTTTCTTTTTTTTGTATGACTAAAACATGGTAAGGCATGCAAAATTTTTGGTACTAGCAACATATAGTGAGTTGACTCTCTGAATTAGGAATATGTAGCTTGGGTGGATGGATTAGTGTGAAATGTAGTAGCATATTATGGAATTATTTCCTATTTTGAGAAGCATATTTGTATTACTGTGAGATGAATTTCTGAAATTCTGGACAGTATGAAACTTGCAAAATAAGTAGATGTTACATAATCTCTGGCTGTTACCTGAAAAGCATTCATCACATTAGAAGTTTTTTTTTGAGGGTTATTAGTTTTTTGATAGTTATAATAAATGCTGCTGCTCACAGCTAGGACAGTTTTGAAATGTGATGATAAAATACAGTACTGAGCTTAACCATATTAGGAGGCAGTGATTTCTTTGTGTTCAGTAAGAGAAAAGTTGATTGAATATCTTCAAGAAAGCTGATGTGTGGTTGCATAAATGTTAAAAACCCCATATTTTGTGTTTAGAAAAAGGACTCTTTGAAGGGGCAGTTTTATCATATTTTAATCAGATTTTATTATGTGTTAAAATAGGTATATATTAGTATGTACAGTGTAGATGGCTACTAGGCACTTCTTGATGCATGTGTTTTAAGAAAAAGTCTTACAGTACACTTCTCTATACAACAGCATTTGCTAGTGATTTATTTGTTCTGCTTTCAGAGAAATGAAAACAAGTCTTCTAAATGTTCACTCTAGTTTCATAAGCTGCATATTTTCTCAATGAGTATTCTACATACATTCTACTGTGTCCTTGCAGTCTACCATGTGAAAGTTATAATACATCTGTTTTAATAGCTGGTATGAATCTTATTCAAAATATAATACTGACTAAGACTAAATACAGTATGTGTGTGTATATATAAAGATATGCAAAGGTAGTTGTTGAGCTGTTTTGCGTATTGTGGTATTTCAGGTAGTATTTTATGACCTTTGAAAATTTCTCTTTTAAGTTCTACCGGGCAGAAATTGAAGCTCTCCATTCTTCTGGGACAACTGCAGTTGTTAAATTCTGTGATTATGGAAATTATGAAGAGGTGCTTCTCAGCAACATCAGGCCTGTTCATGCAGACACATGGGTATGTCATAACAAATTGTATTAAAAAATATAAACTACATAGTCTGTACAAAATATGTAACCCTTCTGAAATTAATGCCTACTCATGCAAAGAGTGCTAATTGCATGTGTAGGAAAATAGTTAAGCGAATACATGAAGAAACTCTCAACTTTTAGTTGTCTATATGAAACTTCATAAAAGTGTATTATCATGTGGTATTCTTCCTGTATAATAAATACCAATTGTATTGTTTGAAAATGAATAACTGACCTGTCAGCCAGTTTTATGCATATTTTCTCTCTAAAACTTGTTGCTTACTCTATTAAACACAGTTTTCTGTTTTATTTCATGTACCTTGTATGTTGGTCTGTAAAGGTTAGGAAACAGTCTTTTAAAATATATATTCTGAAGGTTTTTACTACATGTATATGTACGGCTAGAAATAGATTTCTGTATCACTATTTTGTATCATGATTTCATTCTTGTTTCAATGATTTCTTCTTTGCCAAATATTGTGGTGGAGGTATATGCCTCAAAATCTGTTTTATGAGGTTTAGAATGTATTAGCCTTATGGAAGTTGGAAATTTCAAAAGGCTTTATTTGTGAATGTAATGGAAATAGAGATACTTCTTGATTTTTATTTTTTCTTAATAACAAGAGTGCACAATTCTTTGCTGTTTACTATGAAAAGCTGCACAAAAAGTATTCATATTTGTATATCGATTCCTTAATGATGAATTGACTGTGCTTATTTTCATTTACCTCTGGGTCATATAGCCATATTACTACTACTGCATAGGCTGAACAGTCAACTGCTGTTTCCTGCCAGTGGTATTTTAACTTGTGTTTCTGCTGTAGCTCTCAGATGGCCTCTGAGATGGCCTTTTTGTACTTAAAAAGATATCTGAAGGTCTTCCCAGCTGATGCGTTGCTGTTTCTATGAAGATTTACTACTTCTTTTTTTTCCCCTTCTTTTTATCGCAGTAGCTGAGGTGTAAGGTGCTAATTTCTTACTGTATGATTGTACTGATTTTGACCCTTTTTCTGGGTTAGTAATCAGCCTTTTCTTCACACCTCACACATCTTGGAGTGGCTTTTATTTTACTTTAACCCTCTGAAAGTTGGCTCTTACAGTCTAAGAATTTGAGCTGGTGTTAAGACCAAGTTGATCTAATAGCGAGATGCCAACCTGAAGCAGTGGTCCTTCCTGCCTCTTCTGCCTATTTTTGACCACATGTTCCTCCTGTTCCCTTTCCTTCCATGTTGGATTGTCAATCATGTAGCCACAGGATGAGTTGAGAGAGATGGACCACTTTTTCCACCCCCAGTTTTATTTGTTTTGTTTCAGAGTTAGTTTGTTAAGGCTGACACAAGATGGTGGGACAAGGTATGGAGAGGGGATTCTGCCACTGAAATATCATAGTCCTAACATCATGCTGCACCCTGATATTGTCACTGAGACTTCCTCATTTGTTACTGGGGAGAAATACAGATTTTTCCAAGGACCTTTTGGTCCATACAGAAATGAGGGATACCTTTCTTGAGGTTCTTTTTGCTCTCAAGGGAGCCTAGGTGAATAGTGTAAATTCAGACAACTAAATTTAGATCATTATAGTTATATCATTATAGTCAACCAACATCTTCACAGTAAACAAAATTTTTATGTTTTCTTTCCAACATTTTACTGTTTTCTTGCTAAAAGGTCCTTACAGCTATAGGATTTTTGCAGGAGAAAGTTGATTAGCACCTTGCTCTTGACTTTTTTGTGTTTAGATGCTAACTCTAGTCCTCATTATGCATTTGCAGTTCTTAATCACCCTTTGGAGTCATGCTCTGATACTCAGGTTTGTCTTCTAAGCTGAACACTGTTGGTCACTTTTCTTTGTCTCAGTGTTCATATTAATATATGAATCTAGATAGCACACACAAATGCAAAATGAAGTTCTCATGCTGCTTAATACTTAATTCTTTGTCATAAGATTTAAGTAACTTTGTGATATTTCCTCTTTACAAGAGAACAAAACGGATTTTAAACTGACTTTAGTAATTACTTTTCTTTCACTGGTTGATGTTATCAGCAACAATGAACTTACCTTATTAGAAGTGTTGAGTTTTATTTCAGCCTTTCCAGATAACTAAGTCTTTCTTAGCTGTCTGTACTCAAGACATGTTACTAATGTAGAAATATACTGTATGTGAGTTCTGATGTCCTGATATGGCCAGTTTTTCAGACTCCTTTTTGAAAGAGTTGTTGATATTAAGAGATTTAGGGAATTGACTTAAAAGGCATAAATTCAGTCTACGTGTTAGAATTGATTATTCTTTACTCTTCTCTCCAGCATACTTTTTGGTACTCATGTGTTGGATAATTTTTTTTTTTCCCCAAAAAATATAAACTGATATAGTATACCAGTATACCAAAAGTATACCACTGGGAGGAAGGAAAAAAAGGCCAAAAGTTGCTCAACTAGTCAGTTGAAAAAACAGCCAAAAAATCACAATGACCTGATTTTGATGACATGACCTTATTTTGGTGACATGACTTATTGTTTAAGCACCTGAATTTCTGGTCTACTTTTGGCAACCTTTATAATTATCAAAAATAGTAAATGAATGAAAGTTCTTTACATTGTTAGTAGATTTAATATAATTTTGTTTTCACCTCCTTCTGGTTAACATTCTGCCCTCCGTTCTCGCTGATTCTCCACTACAGAACTGCACTGCATTAGTACAAGTTGTTGTGGTTTTGGTGGTTTTTGTTTGGTGTTGGGTTTGGGTTTCTTTTGTTCTGTTTTTTTTGGCTGTAGATGGAATCTGCCTGATATTCTCAGGATACATTGTGCTTTCCACCTTAATGGGAAAAAGTGTTACTAGATGATCCTAAGAGTCCTTGATAATTGATTGTATACTGTCTGTCACCCAGTTTGCCCTGAGTCCTTCTGAGTCCCTCTGACAGCTAACATGCTGCTATTTATCTTTCTGACGGCTAGGAGTATAGAAGGTAAAGCTGTGTGTTACATAAGGTAAATCAAAAGCTGGTGGGGAATTTTTTTTCAATAATCATATACAATACCCATATAAATATATGTAAGAACACTAAAACTGTTTTTCTTTTCTTAGTGCTTGCAAAATATGTCTTAGGTATGTGATTCGTAAATATTTTTAATAATAAAATTACATTTGGATTCCACTGTTTTAGAGTTCTTCTAAGTATCTTGTATGTAATGCTACAATACTGTATCCTTCTATTTTCCTCAATGTAGCAGTGGTCACGTAACGAAAATATTATAATCCCAATGAAAAAAAATCAGTGAAAAGCCATTGTAGAAATAAGAACTGCTTGTTTTTTCTTGTAAAATATGTAAGATTCTTCTAACAACTGAAAAGCATGGAACGTGAAGGGCCTTTCTGACTTAACAGTTTGTTCTGTGGAAAAACAATAAATAAAGTCAAGAAAATACTTTAAACATTAAGTCTTAATTTTATTCTCTAACTTGTAGGATTTTCTTTTCTTAATAAACTATGAAAATGTGTAGCCTAAGTGCTTATGTTGTGACATTTTTTCCCCAAAGCCAGGTCATTACTTTCTCTTTTCCATTCTGCGTTTCCTTAGTCACCTGTTAGGCCTTGTTCTGGCATTTGCACTGTGATTACTCTTCTTTTTTTGTTGTTGTTGTTTTCTATTATTATATGAAGGAAATAAAGATTTTAGTTTTCCCACATGTATATATTATGGCCTTATTCTGATGGCTCTCGAAAAGAGCTAGATATATATGAACTTTTTGCTTACAGTAATTCACTTAAAAATACTAATTATGAAGTGAAGTCTGTAGTTTAGCTTAGTTTAGCTCTTCCTGTATCTTGCACTGTATGTCTGCCTAAGGAGGTAAGAAGGCAAAAATTATTATTAAGGTTTGTATGATCCTAATTCTTCTACAGTCTGTTTTGTTCTGTGGAGGCTGAAAATCCGCTTTGCAGCTTTCCTCATGGCATTCCTCCAGTAAGGAATGAGTTGAGGAAAGAAGATAGCAAAGGGTCTTGGATTATGGTTAATTCAAGCCAGCAGACATTTGAGAACTTAAATTTGGTAATGTTGTGTCTTGTACCGCACAGAGCTCTAAGAGCTTCTACAGGTGTTGAATTATCTTAAATCAAACTACAATTCAGGGCTTTCTTATACCTGTCCTGTATTTCAGGTAAGTAGAGAAGTAAACTCCTGTGAGTTTTCTGAAGGTGTTTGAACCTCTCTCCAAGCAGTGTAGAGAGCAACACTGAAAACCTCTAAATGGTGAAGGCTTACAGCTGCCTGGAAGCTGGAGGAGACTTTTGCTTATCTGTTTTATGGAGGTTTTGAACCCATTCTTTTGTCTTTCTTTATGACAGGCAAATACTTTCTTGAAGGATTGGGTGCAATTTCTTTATGTCTCTTTGGCCTGGATGGCCTTGACATCACACTATGATCTTTTTGTGTTGTGTGTCAAGCGGGAAGTCTTTCCCACTGAATACGTAGGTAGGTACAGTAGATAAATGTGTCTTGGTTGGATCTCTTATCTAGCTTCTGTCCTCAGCGACTACAGTAAAAACAAGTCTATTAAAACAGAATTGTACAGTCTAATTACACCAGTTCTGTAGGAAAAAAGTCTCTAAATAGTTGCATCAGACAAGAATTTGATGTCTTCAGTTCTTTGGCTTCTGCATTGTTAGGGAAATCTACAGCATAATTTTACAGTTCATAATTACTCATTGACTAAATGAATTAAATGATGGCTGAGTAGTTTGGACTGCCCGTCCTCCTGAGTGGTCGTGCATATTTCTTAACTTTAATCTAAAAAGTTACTAGTGTGGATTTAGTTTCTACAAAAGGCTATCTTTATGCTTTATTAAAAAACTTCCGATTTAGGCAGTTATTTTGTTGAGATGTGCCTCATTTTCTATCTCACCAATATATGGTGATTTCAGTTGCCTCTGTTCTGCCAGGGTGAAAAATTGCTTGCATAGTCTATCCTATTTTTTTTTTTTT